ATAACAACAACAATAATAATATTAAACAATAATAAAATAATAATAATAAAAATAATTTATAAGTATTATTAATTATTATATAATTATTATATAATTATTATTAAATAAATACTTAACAACAACAACAATAACAACAAAATAATAATATAATATAATCTTTTGAACCACCCGAACATTTATGAGTGGTGATGGCGAAAATACTACAATAAATAAATAAATAATTACTAAAATACTCTAAATTGTTCTTTCTTCATTCATGGACTTGCTCAACATGTGAAGCTTCATGTTTGTTTATTTTTGAGTTGTGCACGGCCATAAATTAAGCTTTTGTTTAAACCTGTATTATTTATAGTAATATTACAAATAATAAAATATAGTATTAGTAGTAATATTATAATAATTTTTAGTAATTTATAGTAATACAGTAGCAAATGCATATAGAAAAAGGCATTTTGAGAGATATATATACACATCAAAATGGCTCTTTACATAAATGCATTTGCTAAAAAAAAATCTGAAATGGCTCTTTGCTGATAAAAGATTCCGACCCCTGTGCTGGCTACACTTTACTAATGAACTATTGTGCTCCAGAAGCAGGCATTTCAGCAGTGTCCAACCCCTGTCTATGCATGTTTTTTGTTTTTTTACCAACGCAATGGTAACACTTCACAATAAGGTACATTAGGTAATGCATTTACTAACATGAACTAATCATGAACAACACATGTACTGCATTTATTAATCATAATTGAACATTTACTAATGCATTATTAACATCCAAGTCCATGCTAGTTAACATTAGTTAATGCACCATGAGTTAACATGAATCAACAATGAACTACTGTATTTTCATTAACTAATGTTTACTAACATGAACAAATACAGTAGTAGATGTATTGTTCATTGTTTGTTCATGTTAGTAAATGCATTAATTAACATTAACTAATCAACCTTATTGTAAAGTGTGACCAACGCAATGTTCACTATTTTCATTTGGTTTAAAATGATTTACTTTGTAGCCTACTACTAAATCAGAAAATATACATTAATAACTAAAATGCACAACAAAACAAATCAATAACTAAAAGGGCAAAGACATTAAAACATGCTGATCATAAAACTTCCACCTCCACAAATTATTGTTAAAGCTGTTGTTGTTTTATTATTAGTATTTTTTATTATTACCAGCATGAGTATATTATAGTCATCACGTTATTAATAATCCATCATACTGTTAGTTACATTCTTCTTTTTAATATTATTCTTTACTTTGGGTTTGTACAATTCGTAATTATCATTATTATAGTCGTTTTTTTATTATTATTCTCATTGTTTTGTTTGCTGCACTTTATTTTTCAACCCTTTTCTTCCTTTCTTTTTCTTCTATTCCTCCCCTTTTCTGTTTTTAGCTAATTTTTTATCTTAGCCTTATTTTCTTCTCTTTCCTCTTCTACTACTATTATTATTATTATCATCATTATTATTATTATTATTAGTCCTCCCCTCACCTCCTCACTTTTATCATGAATGGTATTACTTTTACTTTTGTTATCATTATAATTATTATTACTGTTTTGACTTGTCCTCCTGTCCTCCTCATTATTATAAGTATATATACCATTGTCATTAATAAGGTTGATGTCGTTGTTGTAGTAGGTAGCAGTAGTAGTAGTAGTCATTGTAGTAGTATCGATTGTAGTTGTGATTATTGAAGTAGTAGGTGTAGAAGTTCCTGTAGTAGTGGATGTCATTGGCATAGTGGTATCAGAAGTAGTAAAGGTGTTGTTGTAGTAATAGTAGTCGTTGTTGGTGTAGTAGTATCAGTAGTAGTAGACTAGATGCATCTGCTTTAAACAGCAGCACTTCTTTGAATATTTGAAATAAAATTCAAACTTCACTTGTGGGATAATTATTTGGTCATCAGCATACACGTGTGTGTAAACTCTATGATGAAATAATTGCGTAATGTTTCAATAGTTTTAATGTGTAGTAAGTTTTTGAATAGATGGAGAGTTTTTAAAATGCACCTGTAGTAATTCAGTCTCGCCACTAGGAGCCGCTAGGGACCCAAAGTTGAATGAATGTAAACAGACGGGCTTGTTTACTGTAGAATAGATCAGTAGATCTCAAAGTGGGGGTCGGGAGGGGTCGCGGGACAATGAAGAGGGGTCGCCTGGTGACTTTCAAAAATCTATTTATTTTTATTGAACCATAAGATTTACCATAATTTATTCACAACCTACTCAAGAGAAAAAAAATAGTCGTTTATAGTTACTATAGTAGCTTATTGTTCTATTGGATTGCGACCCCTGGGGTAATTACATTAAGACACAGCAATAGCGTCAGATGCAGCAGATTGATTTTATAACACCAGGTTAAACTTTCTGGCCCATTTACAGCACTGACATACATTTAAAAATTAAACAAAGAACAGACTTGGGTCTATTGGTGTGTGTGCCATTGCATGCAAGGTCTCTGTATTTATGACCACCTCAGAGGACATTGGGGGTCACAAGTCACTGGCATTGTCATTTTGGGGGTCACGAGCTGAAAAGTTTGGAAACCTCTGGAATAGATGACCAACCTTTGTTATAGTCTATGGACCAACCTCCCTATTGATCTGTCTTTAAATGTTATAAGTCACTGTTAAAACTCAGTTTCCCTATGGAGAAGAAGAAAAACAAGTTTTCACCCCCACAATGAGACACATCGCTCCGTCAACAGCTGAAAACCTCTTTTCATTTATCAGTTTATTCAGTTATTTTGTAACCAATTCAGTTTTAATCACAGCTAAATATTGTCATTGAATCTAAGTAATCTGTAATCAGTCAAGTATTCTGTAAATTACTTTTGATTTTACTTTAACACTTAATTGCTTCACATTGCAATACGAGATAAACACACAATAGCAGCGCTCTTCCATAGCTTTTGGTATAAGATGGCAGAAAGACGGTTTGAACTGCTGGAGTTAAATAACACTCTTATAGAGGGAGTAAAGTAAAGACAACTGAACTAATGTAAAAGTAGTTTTAATAAAACAACAGGAAAACTCCATTACTGACATGTAAATTGACCAAACACAGTCAGTCTGATGTTTGGTAGTGGCTCCGATGCATATGCAGGTTAAAATAATTTCATAGAAAAGAAAGGCCTTTAACAGACATTGTAAATCAGGGAATGTAAATTAAATTCTATATAAACACACACACACTCACTGGCCACTTTATTAGGTACACCTCACTGGTACCCTCTTTTGCCTTCAGAACTGCCTTAATCCTTCGTGGCGTAGATTCAACAAGATACTGGAAATATTCCTCAGAGATTTTGCTCCATATTGACATGATAGCATCACACAGTTGCTGCAGGCTTGACGGCTGCACATCCATGATGCCAATCTCCCGTTCCACCACATCCCAGAGCTGCTCTATTGGATTGAGCTCTGGTGACTGTGGAGGCCATTTGAGTACAGTGAACTCATCGTCATGTTCAAGAAACCAGTCTGAGATGATTGAGCTTTATGACATGCTGCGTTATCCTGCTGGAAGTAGCCATCAGAAGATGGAGACACTGTGCTCATAAAGGGATGGACATGGTCAGCAGCAATACTCAGGTAGGCTGTGGCGTTGATGCTCAATTGGTACTAATGGACACAAAGAAAATCTCCCCCACACCATTACACCACCACCAGCAGCCTGAACCGCTGATACAAGGCAGGATGGATTCATGCTTTCATGTTGTTGATGCCAAATTCTGACCCGACCATCTGAATGTGTCAGCAGAAATGGAGACTCATCAGAGCAGCAACGTTTCTCCAATCTTCTATTGTCCAGTTTTGGTGAGTCTGTGTGAATTGTAGCCTCAGTTTCCTGTTCTTAGCTGACAGGAGCGGCACCCGGTGTGCTCTTCTGCTGCTGTAGCCTATCCGCCTCAAGGTTGGACGTGTTGTGTGTTCAGAGACGCTCTTCTGCAGAAGTTTGAGTTCTCTTTTTATTTGAGTTACTGTTGCCTTTCTATCAGCTGGAACCAGTCTGGCCATTCTCCTCTGACCTCTGGCATCAACAACAAGGCATTTGCGTCCACAGAACTGCTGCTCACTGGAGATTTCCTCTATGTCGGAGCATTTTCTGTAAACCCTAGAGATGGTTGTGCGTGAAAATCCCAGTAGATCAGCAGTTTCTGAAATACTAAGAGCAGCCCGTCTGGCAGCAACAACCATGCCACGTTCAAAGTCACTTAAATCTTCTTTCTTCCCCATTCTGATGCTCGCTTTGAACTGAAGCAGATCGTCTCGACCATGTCTACATGCCTGAATGCATTGAGTTGCTGTCATGTGATTGGCTGATTAGGCATTTGTGTTAACAAGCAGTTGAACAGCTGTACCTAATAAAGTGGCCGGTGAGTGCATTATGCAAGAGACTTGCTTTGTTTACCAAATAAGTGGATCTAATTGGATTTGCATTGGAAATATTAAAGAAATGTTAAAAATGTATAATTTTTTATCTCATATATTATGTTGTTGGTTACAATACTCCCAAAATCATTCCTCATAAAATGGCCACAGATTCTGTCTGGCCCTACTTATATCTCATGCAAATTCATTCATGGAAAGTCAGGAATCTCTGCAAATCAGACTTGGAAAACACTGTCAGGGATTTAAAGTCGGTTCACTCTCAGGCACATCACTGTAAAACATTGCCAGAGCTCAGTGCTGTTATTAAAACACACATTAAATTCACACTTCAGCGAGAGTTCACACTTGGCAGATTTGGGCAGATTAAAGCTAACTGGTGCGACTGCTCTGTTACTTTTGAGCATCCAGACGCTGCAAATGAACAACCAGCTCGTGTTAAGAAAAATGTTCCACCAACAATTTACAGTTAAGATTTGTGTGTTTTAACATTTCGTTTCCCACAGAAGCGTCTAAAGGGCTTCACAGACGATTAGATGCATGAAAGAATGAGCACCTTTATTTGTTTTGCTTAAAAAACGAGTGGTCTTACCAGAGTAGAGGTTGCGTAGTACGGAGCGTGTCCACTCGGGAGTAACACCGGCTGAAACACACAAAACAGCAAGTAAACACTGTGAAATATATCTGTAGATCAGCAGTTTTCTGTATTTTGTGATGATTTTTTTTATTTTTCTTTGTTTATTTCTGCTTTTGAGTTGCATTATGGGATCTTAATCTTCCTTTACAACAACTATTAAAATTGAAACATTCACAAAAGTGATTTTTACTAACATTTGTAATAGTTTGGAGTGCTATATTGTCTGGGTTGGTGTTGTATATTACACTACAAACACCGTATAATAAACTGCAGCACATCTGTTATTTCAGATGTTATTTCTGTTATTGTACACATTATATTATATTAATTCAGTCAGAACAGTGACTCAGTGCAAACCAACAACATCCGTCACTCAGCCTATACTGATAATAATGTTAAATATGTTTGAGATGTATTAAATAGATGATAACCTAACTCACTGGGAGAGCAGTAGCTGATACTTAGGTGAATGGCTATAGTATTTATTAGCTAGGACCCGGTGTTACATGTTGTACTTTATAATCCTAACGCAATTTAATTTGGTATTTAACCAATTAAAGTTAACCTGGTTCATCTGACTAATCAGATTGGAGCAGTACTATCTCACCAATTAAAGCAAATTGACCAATCAGCACAAAGAGAAGCCATTTGACCAATCAGCACTGAGTAGAACATTCCGACCAATCAGCACAGAGTAGAGCAATCTGACCAATCAGCACAGAGTAGGGCTGTTTGACCAATCAGAACAGAGTAGAGCCATCAGACCAATCAGCAGAGTAGAGCAATCTGATATATCAGCACAGAGTAGCGCAATCTGACCAATCTGCAGAGAGTAGAGTTATCTGACCAATCTGCAGAGAGTAGAGTAATTAGACCAATCAGCACAGAGTAGAGCCATCTGACCAATCAGCACTGAGTAGAGCAATCTGATATATCAGCACAGAGCCATCTGACCAATCAGCACAGAGAAGAGTAATCTGACCAATCTGCAGAGAGTAGAGCCATCTGACCAATCAGCACAGAGTAATCTGACCAATCAGCAGAGAGTAAAGCCATCTGACCAATCAGCACAGAGTAGAGCCATCTGACCAATCAGCACAGAGTAGAGCCATCTGACCAATCAGCACAGAGTAGAACAATCTGACCAATTAGCACAGAGAAGAGCCATCTGACCAATCAGCACAGAGTAGAACAATCTGACCAATTAGCACAGAGAAGAGCCATCTGACCAATCAGCACAGAGTAGAACAATCTGACCAATTAGCACAGAGAAGAGCCATCTGACCAATCAGCACAGAGTAGAACAATCTGACCAATTAGCACAGAGAAGAGCCATCTGACCAATTAGCACAGAGAAGAGCCATCTGACCAATCAGCACTGAGTAGAGCCATCAGACCAATCAGCACTGAGTAGAGCCATCTGACCAATCAGCACAAAGTAGAGCCATCTGACCAATCAGCACTGAGTAGAGCCATCAGACTAATCAGCACAGAGTAGAGCCATCTGACCAATCAGCACTGAGTAGAGCCATCAGACCAATCAGCACAGAGTAGAGCCATCTGACCAATCAGCACTGAGTAGAGCCATCAGACCAATCAGCACAGAGTAGAGCCATCTGACCAATCAGCACAGAGTAATCTGACCAATCATATGCATGCGCTTGACACAGAAGTATAAATCAGACTTTACTCTTTTGTGAACATTTATTATTATTTATTTAGAATATGCGTCACATTTAGACTTCAATGCCTGATTATAAAGCTGTTAAAATGACTATAATTAAATGAAATATTCTGAAGAACGAAATATGATGTGTTCTTTTGAAGAGTGGACTTATGCCGAGTTCAGACTGCGTGATTTTAGCCCCAATTTTGATTCACCGACAGGTTTTGAGAAATCGCCAACAAATGCCTGAAATCACAGGCAAATCGCTGCTCGTGCACGTGAGTGACAATCACACAGTGTGAACGATCAAAGACGCGATCTGAGAGAATCACCGATGAGTCACCGATGCCTGTGAGATATTTGGCGTGCTGAATATCTGGAGCTGTCGACGATTCAATTCATGCCGTGTGAAACGAGTTTTGACTGAAAATAACATCAGCCATCGCCTACAGCCAATGAGAGAGCAGCTAGTGTACCTGCAGGCCAGCGGGAGGTTGAGGGAGAAGTTAAAAGCGCTCATTTTCGGTTTGTTTGGACCCAAGACATGGAGGAAAAACTAGAGGAGGTTTGACAGGAGCACTCGAGTTTGTTTGACGTTTCATACAGAAAGTTAAAAAAGAAAGTTAAGGAGAAATGGCTAATTCCCTTCAAACCCAGGTGAGCAAACATGTACATGTTCTACCCCATTAAAGGCTTCTTACTCATTATGTCGTTAATAACAAAAGATATACGACGTGTCTTTGGCTGCGAGACGTAGTTTGGACGAAGTAGTTGGTGATTCTTCCTATAGTAAATTCATGCAATGTGAAAGTCCCTGTCGCCGATCCATCTTGCAGTGTAAACAAAGCAGCGACTAAACGCTAGCCCAGATAGTCATGCAGTGTGAAAACATCTGTGACACGACTACTTTGAAAATCCTGCAGTCTGATCTCGGCATTACACTGTGATGAGATTAATCATTTTATTGGCATTATATAACGAGCGGCATAAAATGACAATAATATTGTTTATTGCAGTATATTTTGGAAGATATCCTACAACAAAAATAGATATGGTGATAGGCCTATTGAGCAGCAGACTCAAGAGCAGTGTTTAGTTTAGCAGATTTAGTAACTTTTCAGATCCCCTAGCGACAAATTTTCAATAAAGCGACTAGTGATAAATCTAGCAACTTTTTTGTGTGCTACTGGAGATTTTTATAGACTCTCGAGTGTCCGTACTGTACCGTCCCTGCTCTTGTCAATGAGCTGCTGGTGATGCCGCCGGCCCCTCCCCCGCCTCAGAGCACTGACAGGCGGCCCAGAACTCTCTGCATACCGACGGCAAATGATTTAGCACTGGCAGTGCGAGGTATTTCCCTTGTACAGTCAGGCTGATCTGCTTCTCGCTTATTTTTGACGTTTATTCTTTTCTTGTTCACAATCACAGATATTTTAAAGACGCCTTTCCACTGCACATGACATTTGGACACGACTGTCGGAATGCGCCCCCTTGTGGCAGCCGCACAGTATTGTCAGTGTTGTCGTGCACCACGGGGGAAAAGCTGATTCTCAAGGTGTCCGAAATAAAGGAGGGCAAAAGCAAGAGCCTTTATTCTCTGTGCGTTTACATGGTTTAATGGATGAATGAATACTAGACACTCATAGACCGCTAAAATATTGGAGGGAATGTGGAGACAACATTAAATATATATATTTTTATTACTTTCTTACTTACTTTTATGAACAGAAAAGTTTTTGTTTTTAATATAGACTTTTTATAATTCCAAAAATAACCAAATAAACTCCTATTTCTCATCTCGTGCGCACGGATCTGCTTGGACAACACTGGAATACATCATATCCGGTCGGCAGGTCGCATACGGTCTAGTCGCAGGAGTCAAATATTTTAACAGATCCGCAGCTCAAGTCGGATCCAAATTTTCCAAACTGTCGCTTGTCGTGTGCATTGGAAAGGAGGCTTAAGTGAGAGTTTCAGAACTTTATAACGTCTGAGAGATTACTGCAAGTTCACTACACATCAATACTGATATACTGTATTCAAACAGCAATCCATTTAGTTCAATTGACATACAAATTGACATGCTTACATAAAGCATACTGCAAATATAAAGACCCCTTTATCGACCATAGGCTGTTAAACGAACAGAGATGGTAGAACGTGATGACGTCAGTAATATGCAAATTAGCATATGACGTAATGTAGGGACTTTTAGCGATTTTTCGGGCAGAGCTTGGCGCCTTTTCATTGAAAATAGTTGGCAACAGTGCTCATGAGGATATATCCGACTCTTACCTTTGCAGGTGACACGTGCATCTGAGGTGTGTATGCGTGGATGCCGTCGATGGGGGCGTGGCCAGAGTCACCCAGGTGGAGCATCTCTGCAGATTTACCTGTGCTCAGGTGAGCGGGACTGTGCTGCAGTGGCGGCGTCTCCTCGTCATGGTAACGGTACTTCTGCAGAGACCATCACACACACAAGGAGAGAGAGGAACAGCTCAACTCCACTGTCACACTTAAAACATATTAGTTATTCATTCATTCATTCATTCATTTTCATTCGGCTTAGTCCCTTCATTCATCAAGGGTCGCCACAGTGGAATGAACCACCAACTATTCCAGCATATGTTTTACACCGCTGATGCTCTTCCAGCCACAACCCATCGCTGAGAAACACCCATACGCTTTCATTCACACTCATATGCTACGGCCAATTTAGTTCCAGGCTAATCACCTGGAGGAAACCCACGCCAACACGGGGAGAACATGCAAACTCCACACAAGGACGACCACTGACCCAGTTTAATATGTATATTCATTACTTTTAAATACTATTTTAAATGAAGCAATAGAAGATTGTGTACTGTAAGTAGTTGCTAAACATCCCAACCAAGAAAACCAGCCTCAGGACACTCTTTCAGGATGGAGAAACTAAACACACACACACACACACACACACACACACACACACAGAGCATTATGGGATTGTCCAGACGGGGGCGACACAGAGCTGTTCAGTATTCCACTCAGAGCTCACTGCAGAGCTGAGGAGGATGATGATGATGTCATCAGAGAGGGACGAGACTCTCTCTCTCACACACACACACACACACACACACACACACACACACACACACACACACACACACACACACACACACACACACACACACACACACACACACACACACACACACACACACACACTTAATACATCTCCAGAGAGCAGAAACAAATAAGAGTCCAAACAGAAACAGAGACTTACTCTTCTCTCTGTGTGTGTGTGTGTGTGTGTGTGTGTGTGTGTGTGTGTGTGTGTGTGTGTGTGCTTATCTTGGTGTTTTTTGGGGACACAAATTTGTATAATGACATGGGAATGATCCAGACAGAAGATTTATGAGGACAGGTCTTGTGTTCCCGAGTTAAAATCCTATTTAAAGAGCTCTTCTGATTCATAGTTTGACCCAGGGGCTCATGTGAGGGTGGCTGGGTCAAATAAGAACTGTGTTTTACAGAATTAAAAACAATACACCTATGGAGAGTCCTCATAAACCACCAAAACCAATGTGTGTGTGTATGTGTGTGTGCTGGTTTTGGTGGTTCTTGAGGACACAAGTTTGTATAATGACATGGGAATGATCCAGATATGAGGTTTATGACGACATGTCTTGTGTTCTCATGAGTTAAAATCATATATAAAGAGCTCTCCTAACTCATAGTTTGACCCAGGGCTCATGTGAGGGTGGCTGGCTCATATAAGAAGTGCTTTTTACTGCATGAAACACACTACGCCTATGGAGAGTCCTCATAAACCACCAAAACCAATGTGTGTGTGTGTGTGTGTGTGAGTGAGTTTCCCACGCTCACTCTCTCTCTCTCATTCACTGCACGATGCTGCTCTGGTTGCCATGGAAACTGGCTCTGATAGCATGGTTGCATAGCAACTGACATCATCAGCAACACAGAAAAGAGGATGAAAGAGAAGCAAATGACGAGCGATCTTCAGATTTATGAATGTGCATATGTGTGTGTGTGTGTGTGTGAGACCGACAGTAAAACAGCTAGTCAGTGGTGTTTGTGTGTGTGTGTGTGTGCTTCAGTGCCAAAGAGTGAAGCGCTACAGTGCCGCTTTCATTGATCTACTTGATTGAGTGACATGTCGACCCGCAGTCTCAGCCAATCAGAAGCATTTGTGGGCGGGGCTTATTAGTGTAACAGGGCAATGAATGGAGCATGTTTCAGTCATCATTTCTTCAGGTCTACTAATGAAACACACACACACACACACAAACACACACACACACACACACACAGTGTCAAAGCAAAAGACCATCATGCCACTGATTTATTTTCTCTTTGCCATGATGACAGCACAAAATAATAGACTAGATATTCTTCAAGACACTTCTATACAGCTTAAAGTGACATTTAATGGCTTAACTAGGGTAATTAGGGTATAGTTAGGGTAATTAGGCAAGTCATGACAGGGTACTCCATGGATCCCCCAAATGAAATTCAAGGCTTTTTAAGACCTTTTTAATACCATTTTAAATGAAATTCAATGCTTTCCCAGAGATGGGTTGTTGCTGGAAGGGCATCCGTTGCATAAAAACGTGCTGGATAAGTTGGCGGTTCATTCCGCTGTGGCGACCCCCAATTAATAAAGGGACTAAGCCGACAAGAAAATGAAGAAATGAATTAAAAATTCAATGTCAACTTCGTACCCATTCCGACAGAAGTATGAAAGTCAAATCTGTATACATTTTAAACCCTAGAAAATAATTATGTGGGCAACTTGAATTAAATAAAACATTTTATTTAAATTTTCAGTTGTATTTAATACATAAGCAACAGTGTGGTCGTCGACCCAGTGGCGAATATGAAGGTCCAACTGCTCACTTTTCATCATCTTACTGAGACTCTCGTCAAACATGCAACAAACCCGTTGGCCTTATTGACCTGGTTAGTCAGTTCTTTAGTTATAAAAGGAGCCGATCAGAATTGAGTGATATATGCAGTTTTGTTGCTTCCACTAGAGAATGTAGCTGCATCCTCAGAGTCAGGAAACATGGTCTTGAAAACCTCTGTAACGTTCTTATTCGATGTGCAAGAGTGGTGCTCAGAGATTGTTTTAAAGGTTCACAAAACCCTCGAGTACTTTTTTGAGATTTTAACAGATTTGTGTTGAGCATCAGTTAGGACAATGTTCGCTCCTGTCAGCTTTAATTGTGGGGTAAATGGATAATTTGGAGCTTGTCTGCTAATTTCAGCTTCCGGGTTTAAAATGATTTTTGGGGCGGATAAAAATCAGTGACGGAGCACAAAACTGCAAGTGCAAAGATGACGCATCGGTTTCTCATTATTATTCATAGCGGAGTTTTCTTATCGAAGAGCCGGCTTCTTAATTATTCATGACTGCATGTGCTTTCCGAAGGCAAGACAGTAGTGCCAGTGCCAAGCTGTGAGACACGGACCCACGGCACACAGTATTAAGCTGTTCATGAAGGGTGGTGTGTGTTTGTTTCCATGATCCACAGGGTTTGTTGCATGTTTTTCCCCGCGATGCTGTCAGGGCCGATACAGAAAAGCTGTTTGTGTGCAGCAAGCATTTTTGTCAGGAGAGCAGTACGAGAATTGGAGAATGGCGGACGTCGTCTTTTATCAGGAGTTCGTTCACATTTAGACACATCGCCGTGCTGCTGTGCTCACCTAAATCCTCCAGATTACCAGCAGGGCTAATGGTTAAAACAGACAGGGCAAGAGACCTGCAGCACTGAGTCTGCATTCAGACCCGGGGATTGAGGGAGACGTCCTCATTTATAGTGTTTATATGAACTTGATTATCTTTATAGTGATATAAATTGTGGTTATCTGTGTATGAAATTACGAATAACAAATGTAGCCGGGCATTAAATTACTGATTATTTCTTTGCATTTTAGCTTAGTAAACTATAAACTCATGCATCTCCTCACGGTTTGTGTCTCATTTTGTGAGCCGACTGACAACAGTTGTTCGCTCCCCTCCTTCTCCCCTTCTGGCCACGCCCACTCCGGCCCTCTGCTCGTGGAGCTCCGCCCATTATGATGCATCTTTTTAAAAAACTCTGAGGTGGACCTGAACCGAAAGTGGGGGGTGTCACGACCCTTTAAGGACCCACATTAGCTCTGCCCGCATATAGGATGTTCCCTGGCTGTGGTGGCGATGTTTCTAATGTAGAAATTTCTTCATTACTGATAGCCAAAGCTGTTTAGTAAAATAAGACCTTTGTAACACAGTCCAAAACTTTGTATACGAAATTCAAGACTGTTAAGGGCTTAATTTAAGATTATCCAATGTAAGACTTTTTCAATGCTTAAGACCCCGCGGGTACTCTGATTGTATAACAGTGGTTTGTTCTGTAGACAATCCAAAACTAATATTGCTTAAAGGGGCTAATAATAATGAGCTATTAAAATGGGTTTAAAACAATTGAAAACTGCTATTATTCTGGCTGAAACAAAACAAATAAGCCTTTCTCCAGAAGAAAAAATATTATAGCAAATACTGTGGAAAAAAACTCCTGAATTTGTTCAACAGCATTTAGGAAACATTTGAAGAATATTGTTATATGTAAATATACAATATAGTTTATATTGTTTATATGTAAATAAAAAATATAAATTGTTTATATTTCTTTTTTTTTATATTTAAGGACACCTATGATGGAAATTTCCTTTTTTACAGCTGTTTGGACAGGACTGTGTGTAGTATAGTGTGTCCACGGTCATACTGGAGTGATATAAACACAATAAGTCTCTTTTTTTAATTTCCTGACGTTAAAAAAGGATCCAAATCCCTCCCATTTTGAAGCCGAGCGCAACGTGATGTAGTAGTGCGGTTTTTCCGCCCACAGAATTGATTGTCAGATGCGTATTAACATATCTCCGTAGTGATGCGTATAATCATATCAACAAAACAAGACGTGCACAAAGCAACCGGGATTATAAGATCGGTTTAGCTCCCTGTGATCATCAGTCATCATCAAATGTGATCAGGAATGAGTTTTACAAGTTTAACACATTTATAAAACAGTGCATGTGTAATGAATTACAGGGATTTTACAGTCTTCATCACCACAGCCGCGCATCAGTACATTTATAAAAGAAGACTCTTCAATCTAGGGCTGGACAATAATTCGATGTCAACTGCAGTAGATTATTTTTTAATAATGTTGATATGAGTTTTAAACCCATTTCCAGTATTTCGATAAAAATATGCACCGAAATTTAATCCATGCGACCTCATAATATAGTTAGGGCATTTGTGCGACTGCATATAATGGGTGTAGTGCGACATGTTTTGATTTTTTCTAAAAACGTGCTGAATCGCTCTTCCCTGCCGCTGGATTGGTTCATGTCAGCTGTCAATCACTCAAGGCTTTCCGCTTTCTGATGACGGAGCTTTTGTGACCGCCGGG